AAATCCGATTGATGAATTCCTATTTTCTTCTTTAAAATATCCTCGACATCATGGAAGAACCATAAAAAAAAGGTAAAGCTACCTTACGATATCGAACGATGCTTAGAACGATGCTTTTTTTCAAATTCTCAGATAGATAACATCTGGCGTGTAGACGTGTGTTTCGCGGGAAAGGTGAAATTCGTGAAAAATGAATCCATTACAGCGTTAACGAAGGAGGCTGGTGAAATTTCTAGCCGTGACGGGCATAATTGACGCGAAAGAGCGGGGAGAGGGGTGTTGAGACATCCGGCAAGAGAGGAGATCCGAGTGGAAAGTCGAGAGAGTTGGCGAACTATGCGAGCGACGTGTAGGTGCCTGGAGGTGTACGTCAGATGCAAATCACGCTGGCTAATTTCCCGGAAAACTAACGAATCCCGAGGGCGCGCGGCAGGCCAAATATCCGCCTGGTTCTCTCTCCGCGAGAGACGTTCGCCTGCGTAACCACGTCCCGATAATCCGAAATTAGCAAATTAATTAATTTTCCAGCTGGAATTATTCGTGGAATATTCGACGGCGAGTGTTATGGTCGAAATTAAACGGGAGCATGCATCGATCGCGAGAAGGTTTCGAAAGTATAATACAATACAACGAGGGGGGAAGTTCTCGTTTGGCCAGGTCGAGCTTTAGAAAGGGGGTGTTTGATGCGACATTTCGCTCGCGCCTAATGTCAAACTCTGCCATTTCTACGACCTTTCTCCCTTTACGAAAGCTTCCGTCTCTGCGGATTAACTTGGCTGGCTCGGTTTGACCGATATCAGCGGGCGTAATCGTTGCGTCTGGTCTGGATACAAAGGAGGTACAAGTGAATGGAGAAAGTTCGTGGTGATCGTTGCCAGGATTAATCGAGTGCCTGTGTTCGCCGCTCGTACCTACAGTTTACATGTTCCTTTGCTGAATTTAAAATATAAACAGCTATTAAAAATAGAATTTTTTACCATGTAATAGAGCACTATCGTGTGCAAGGGGCCGGGAATAAAAATGAAAAGAAGAAGAAGAAGAAGAAGAAAAATGTAAGGTAGGCAGCAGCGTCCATACACGGGCAAAGGTTGGCGGGCTCGGCGTGCTCCTAGGGCAGCACGTGACTATCGAGCGAAGCCGATTACTGCTTAAAGATACGTCGAAAGTATACTTTCTTTCGTGGTCGAAGGTAACGTGCAACCCTTAAGGCGAACCATTGGTTAGGGGTCGAAGCAGTTGACCGTAGGTAAAGCGGAAACGGATGTGGCCGTTGGGTCACGCGATCTCCACGAGCCGAGCATAAAACACCTGAGTTGTTTAATCATACGCTCCTAAGCCGAGTCGTACATCGTAAACTCGTAAGGGTAGGTCTCCTTCTCTCTCTCTGTTACTCGCGTTGCAACTTACGTGCTTTCGCCTACCGAGATGTACAGCCGGATAAAAGTACGCCGTTTATCCATTAACAGGTATGTTCCGTTGAGTTTACGGTGTCAATAAAAGTTGTCGACGTAATTGTCGTGAATATGCAGGTTCGCCGTGAGACAATGCAATCAATTGTTCCGATAGCAACAGATTTCTCTCGTGGGTTTTAAAAATAAGGGTACTTAGTATGCACCACGCTTTATCGATGCAAACAGAAATATACGGGGTGCTTCGAAAAAATTTAACACTTTCATGGAGAATTTGTACGTGTATATGTTTTCTTTTCTCTGGAGACCGTTTGAAGAAGATTCCAAGAATGTGTTGACAATGACGGTGAAGAAGAGGAGAATCTTTGAAGTATTGTCAGATTTGTTTCTCTAAAAAAGTTGCCTAACTATGGGCCAAAATTTTTGGATCACTGTCCATTGCAAGGTACACAAAAATTTCCAGAAAAAAATTAGCAACTTTAAGAAATTTTTTAACAAATTTTTTATCGTGCAAATCCATCGAAATGAGATAAATCGCTATCGATATCCACGAGATCAATTTCGAATCAACGAAGAATTAGTAGAAGATGGACGGAATTGGTAGGCGATTGCGAATCTTTTGGCCAATATACGTCATTCCGAGACAAGTGAATTTCTTGAGAGAGTTATCACGATAGACAGTATACGCGCAGTTAGACGTCTGAAGTAGAACAGGTTCGGTTTGCTTTTTAGACTTACGTATCCAGCCTGACGAAACTTCGGAGCCATCGTCTTTTGTCTATGAAAGCACAGCAGGCATTGTCGAGGACGGTGTTACGGCTCCTCCCTCGCCGGTGTATAGTCCATTGTTCGTGCTTATATTGTATTTAGGCATTACGAGTCAGCCTGGTTTAATTGTTATTGTTCCGTAGCGCTTATCGAACACGCTGCTCTGCTGCATTCCCACGCGAGTCATCGCCTGGCCTCGTAATTACTCGAAAATCATTAAACTTCCGTAGCCGCGTACGAAACGCGTGGTAAGTCACGACATTAATAGAAACGTTTCCGGATAATCCCTGCTCGGTGGTAGAAAACGGTGCAAGAAATTAACGATTGCAGCGATATATCATACCTACCCGGTTATGACTATATTTCCGGCAAACGAGAGAAAGAGAGACAAGGTCTGCGTGCATTGCGTGTGTATGTAAGTATAAGCCCGCGAAGACGGGCGAGCGTTTCGATGTTCGAGCGAGACGACCGCGAAGCCGCACAATGCAAAGTTAACTCTCGCGTTACGAATTCACGCTCTTTAGGAGGGTAGCAAAGAGAGAGAGGCGTAGGTTGGCAGAGGTATAGGCTGTATAGGCGGGTAGGAAGGTCGTACAAAGAGAGAGTGAGATACAGAGGAGAGAGAGTGGAAAGAGGTGAGTCGCGTAGAAGGGAGCCGGCCATTTTGTTTCCGGTGTCCCGGGAGCACTTCCGGTCACCGTCACGCAGTTCTGCGTCGCGAAGTGCCCTCGAGCTCCTGAGATCTCCTTTCACGATTATATTCAAATTAAATGCGGGAGTCTGACCGGTAATATACTGCCGCCAATTTAGCTACAACCCCCCGGAGGGTGGTTCGCCTTACCTCGTTTGCCGGCCATCCGACTTTAGTGGCCTGGAAGAATCCCGCGAATCGTCCTTTCTATCTCTTCCACTGTTAATCGTCGTTCTTACCTACAAACCTAACTCTTTCACCCTGTACTTTCCCCTCCGTTCACCGATGCTCCAAAAACCTTTCCACAGATCGACTCTCTCGTCCGTTCATCCCCCTCCGTATCTAGCCGGTTCAGAACGACGCGAGAAAAGTCTCGTAGATCGGTACCACGGGACATCGGTAATCGTACACCAAAGGCATCGATCAGAGGCGAAATTTCGATAACGCGAGGGAGTGGGGGGTAGGGGAGGAAGGGAGAGAAAAACAACACCGGTTGGACTTTTGTGATCGCCAATAAATGCGCGACAGACAAGGAATTCGCTTCCGGTTTTCGATGCAAAGCTTGCCGCGTATCGCGTTCAAGCGCCGCTGCATCCGAACAGTGGGGTTTCAGTTGCACCATTTTCAATGGTGATAATCCCGACGTACCGAGGTCCTCGTTGCACGAACCGAACCAGCTTTGTCACCGGATAACCTAGACTCGCATTGCCGGCTCCGGTAGCGTCACCGATAGACCCCTCCTCCTCCTCCTCCTACCAGCCTGTCGCTCCTCCGCCTACTCTTGTTCCACCTCCCTCCCCCATTTGCCAACCCGTTTCATCCCCTTCGTCGGAACTGCCTTCGAAAGCAACCCTGTGTATCCATCTGTCTGTCTCTCTTCTTCTCCTCGTTTCGCGGCGATACGCAAACCCGTGGTAATAGACGTTCCGGCGCGATTATAAATGAAACGCGTGACACGCGGGATCGAATTACTTGAACGATCGGCGGATTCTCCCCGCGGAACGACGGTCGAGCCGCGGGAAATCGAGAGGTGCTACGCTTCGATCGTAACGAGCTGGCACTTGTTTCGAAGCTACCAGCGGAGATGTACATGAGAGTTGAGTGTGAGTTGAGAGTGAGAGCTTTGGTTTGCTCGTGAATTAAGGTTGAACGATTTTCGAATGTCGCGATATGACGGAGATGGTGGTTGATAGCCAAGATTGCGATACGCGGGGATCATCCTTCATGAGGTTCGTTTCACGGTTACACGTGTACAACCTTTTGTGCTACAACGACGCCACCACCGCGACGGAGCAGCACACGTTCATACACGTCCCGGCTGTGCACGGTAATCCGAGCCAAAAACTCTCTGAGTTTAATTGAACGCGATAACCGATACAAATTGAACATTGCGGTCAAATGGCAACAGGTTCGGTAAAGGGCGCGTAGCTAAACCGAAGATACC